AAGAATCTCTGTGTTTGTAATTTTGCAAAAATATTTTTCTGCTGCCAACACTCTTTCTCTGATTATGATATATATTCGATATTCTGAATATCTCAAAAAGCAAAGCTAAAAGATCAAAAGATGTATAGGATCTTGGAAAACTAGTACATACGTACGGAGATTCCGCTGGTAGCTAGGAAAGAAATACGAGTACAAATTCCTAAACTTTTCTCTTTATACATCATGATTTGTGATCCATTAATCTTAAGAAATTAATTAAAACAGATTAATCAACCAAAATACCCCCGGTTTTCTCACTTGATGAATTACAAAAAGAAACCATTAAAACTTGCCAAACGATATGAGAAAAACGTGGGTGTTTTGGTTTTAATTCCAGAAATTATTTCCCAAGAAAAAAGGAAGAAATTTGAACAGTTTTACTAGTTGTGGAGTTGATCTGGGCAACTGGGCACTCTTCTTTTGGATTCTTCATAGCCTTTTTCTGTTTTGTTGAAGTTGGAACTGGAAGTGCTTCCGCCGATGTACTTACGGAATAGGGCTTCTGTGCTTGTCTTGCTCTTCTTCTGCATCATGTTCCTCTCTGCTTCCACCTGTACCTTTGATATTACATTACCTGTATTTCCCGGGAATACCCGTATTGCCCCTGCCTTGCAGTCGCAGCAGACCCAAATCTGTAACGCCGAAACGACCAGAATCACCACCAGGGAAGAATGCAGAAGCCTCCAGCCGCCGGCGAACGACATTGCCGGAATATATATATCCAGCTACATAAATCACCAAAGCCCTCTCTCCCTCTCCCCTTTCTCTTCGTCTCTCTCTCTCTCTCTCTCTCTCTCTCTCTCTCTCTCTCTCGAGGCTATGACTTATGAGCAACGGATTGACGGCTATTATATGTATAAATTATAATGGAGCCTAGTATTCCCCCACACTGGTCCACGTGAAGAGAAAATAACAGCAGTCTATGTCTCTGCTCTCTGTATTTTATTTTTTAACTCCGGTTTTTATTTTCTTCTTTTAAAATAAAATAAATTTCAACAGTTACTTCACTATTAATCAATGTCAGTACCATATGTCTTTAACTTAATTACTTACACCGTTAACATGTATACACTTTCGTTACAAAATGTTATATGAATGTAGTATTTTAGTTTGTCGGGTTCTCCGTTTGAATGATTAACTACTAATCAGCACACATATAGTTCTCAATTTAGTGACATGGGGCTTAAGTCCAATAGATGTGAGATTCAATTAAACATTTGATTCTATTAGTAGTAAAATTACTAGATATATATTGTATTTTATTTTACCAATTTTTGATGAAAAATACTCACAATACGATATTATTCGACAACAAAATTGCAGCACTGGTCCTTCAATTCTAACCCAATTGGAGTAATGGTTTCTCAACTAAAAATTCATGACCATTGGTCTCTTAACTCATCAAAATGTGCAACTATGGTCATTTTCGTCAACTTTGTCAACATGAGTCATGTTAGAATAACCATTGCTATAATTGGATTAAAGTTGAGAGACAATTGTTACAATTTTTTCCCCTAAGTTATCATAATTGTATGTTTTGATAAGCTAAGGGATCAATAATCATAAATTTTTAATTAATAGACTATTACTCCCCCCCTAAGCTAATAAAGTTATGGAAAGATGGTTTTTTTTTTCATCACTAATTTGGCAATCGTTGTGGTGAATCACTGTTACACTGCTGCTGCAGTTGCTGCAAATATCGGTGCAACTACGATTACCGATGCATTACGTTAGAATGCATGAGAGCCACACTGGAGCATGAGAGCGATAGGCAAATTTTGAGAATTCAAGTTATTTAACCACGCGGGGAGGTGAACGGTGAATTCCACTCTCCAATTACGCGTACTGTAAATGGTAAATAGTAAAGAGATGGAGTTTCGATTTAAAAAAGAAAGAAATGCATGGGATTGCGGAGGAGGAGGAGAACGGCCGGGAATCCCGCGGCGGTGTTGGTGACCAATATTTGGGTGTAGTAGGTTAAAAGTCTTAAGAGTCAAGAGTCGTACGTAAACATGGAAACGTGTATGCAGAAGTAATAGTTCTCTCTCGTACGTTCGACCTAATTAATTGTTAATTACTATTCTAAATTACTAGAATTAGGTGTCAACTTTGATGCAATCTAGTGAGCTCCTTGAAGACACAATTGTCCTCATAAATCACTTGGGACATGTGATTAATAATGTAAGTTTTTCCTTGCTGTATTTGGTCAGATTTTTGGGTACGATGTTTTATATTTATTTTGTCACGATTCAAAGTTGTCATTAGCTGGCAGATGACGCTTTACTGCAGCGACGGAGAACAATAATGTCTATACAATTTGGTCGAGTGGAAGAGATTGAATGAGAGAGAGACAAGTCAAAAGGGAGAGATTGAGTGAGAGAGAGATAGACACGCTGAGATAAAATCAAGGATATAATAAATTGAATATCAAATAATTTGGACAGCGAAAACAGTTCATACCCACCCCGCCCCACGGGTCCAAGACTTGTTTGACCAGCCCTACTTCGAACCACGTTGTTGATTAACACATTCTCATACATGTATGTGATTTTTTTTGTTTTATTTGTGTAAGAGTTGTCTTAATCATGTTAATCAAGTAAAGAAGTGGACCTCGAACCTACTCAAATAAATGGCCAGCTTGCATGTTATTAATCATTCTAAACAATAGCAATTTTATGATGCATGCCGATCACAATATTAGATCAATCATCTTAGATTCTATGATTTTAAGAAAATTATGGTCATACACAATTTGGTCTTAATTCAATAGTACGTGATCATTTAATTTTTGTTGTTATACTTTCTCATCAATCGTTGCATTAAGATCGAACGATGAGGGAACACAATTTTATTTGAGAATAAGATCTAGGAGAATGAAACCCGTATTAGATCATGACATTATTAACTCATCAATTGGTGATGATGAAGCAAGCACGAAATTTGGCATTCAAGAAAAATGAAAACAAGGAACAAAATTAAAAGAATTTGCGATTATCATATCGGATTTTCTCATAAGAAAATTCCAGTTCTTGGTAATACAAATCCATCGTGTTCTTTTTTCTTAGAAATAAAAAGAGAATTGTTATTAACACTCCAAAAATCTTATTTGGCGCTCCAAACTTTATATAATTAGAAGGAAAAAATACATTTATAAGGAATGCAGAATGAAATTTTTAAAAAGCTAATAAGAGTTTCTAATGAAAAAGCGGAGAAAAGAAAGATAAAATATGGAAATCAATGTTCTTGGTGTACCGATGGATAAAATATGGAAATCAATATTCTTGGTGTATCGATGGGAAAGTTACGCCTGGCATTCAGGAATGGTCACTTCCATGCATGTTACTTTGACTCTTGAGGAGATAGCGATGGCATTTAAACGTTTCAATGGGACTTGGTACGGTTAAAACTTAAAACTGAATTATTTTTACTTTACTTTAGGTGAATTCAATCACACAGTACGGTTAAAACCGAACGTTTGACCCTCTATTTTTCAATGCAGGACCAACACTTAAACATGATAAAAAAATTCTGTACTGTAGTCCAAAGTTGTAGAGCGCGTGAGAAACACGCTTTTAACATGGAAAGTTCAGAGTTCGTTTGGAAGTGTTTTTAAAATGATCAAAAATGTTTTTGATGAAAATGTTTTTGAAACTAATTTTTTGTAAAAATTCAAGTGGATTCTAAAAAAACACTTTAAGTGATTCTTGCAATAAGCACCGAAAAACACTTGAAATGCTTTTGAAACCCAAAATAAATTACACCAAAAGCACTTTCGATCATTTTAAAAATAATTTCGAACAAGCCCAAAATTACTGGAGGTGGTTGTGTTATTTTGGGTTGGTCCTAGAAAGAGAGGAGGTTAAGAAAAGTAGGTTTTGTTTTGTGGCTGAAAGGAGAGACAATGAGGTAACTCATAGTCTTAGGAAAAGCCTATCTGATCTGATCTCCTCGTCCCTCTCCCCGTCCCCCACCGGGCCACCGTGGCCCCACCCCGCCACCCCTTCATCTGCATGCAATAAAGTTGACAAGTTTGAGCTTGTGGTTTGGACTTTTGTCAATCCTCTGCTATTCATTTTTGCTGTTTTCTTATCCCCTCTTTTATTGCATTTGCCATTTTCTTCTTGGCATCAACCCGCAACCACCTACTACTATTTATTTCCCCTATTTCCTCTCTCTCTCTAAGACAAACATTCAAATTCCACCCGATTTTCTTTGCTTCTCAATAGGGGTGGGCAGATTCTGTTCGGTTCGCTTCACCCTCGAAAACATAAACCAAACCAAACAATACAAAGAGCGTGCTATCTATAAATTTTTTTTTACTTTCACATACTTTTTTCAAATTTTAACCGTTGAATCAAATAAGATGAAGTAATAGTGTGTAGAAAGTAAAAAATGTGTCGATAGCACCACCCTACAATGATTCAAGTTCGGCGCGGTTGGTTTTGTTTAAAAAATATAGCGAGAGAGGAAAAGGGGAAAGAAGAAAAGAGAGTTGCGGATGGAGAGCGAAGAGAAAAAGAATGGATATAAGTGGCAAAGCCAAGAGCTGAACAATTTGCAACCGGTTCATTTCGATCTAGTTCACTAGTTCAAATCTTTTTTTTTTGGGGGGGAAATTGTAAAAGGGAATTTCCCCTAAAATAGTCTGTTCTAAAATTAAAAGTACAGCAGATTTAAAATTAATTTGGAAAGTGAAAAGCTGGTTTGATATTGCTGTGTTTTGAAAAAAAACTATTTCTACTGTGCTGTGAGAATAAGCTCAATTTTGCTGCTTCACATTTTCAGCTTTTTTTCACCCAAAACTGTGAAAATAAGCTATTTTTAAGTATTTATCAAACACATTTTTGAGCTCAGCTTTTTTTATACCCACTTTTTATAAAAGCACCTCAGCACCAAACCAGTACTGAGTCTGTCAGCCACCAAAACTTAATAATTCTGCAACTTGCATTTGCAAGCATTCATACAGGCACTTATATATTCACTAGATAAAACCAATGTAATAAATACACTGAAAAGTATGCTATCACAGAGGCATCCCATACCATAACATCAATATGCAAACTTGAAAGCTAACTAGCACTACGAATTGATTCTATGCATACCCAGTCATCCCGACAGTTGAGCTCGAACGATTTGCTTTGTGAGCTGCCTGAGCAGCAGTTGCCTTGGTGAAGTACATGTAGTAATACACGTTGAGAATCATAGTCGCAACCACAAATACTGCTCCAGAAATGAAAACGCCTTTTCGCAATGCTTCACAGGAGAAGTTCTGAGCATATATCATTTCCCGGTACTTGGTGTGATACGCATTTTTTGTAGCACCGGCAATGAGACAAGCTTCCGCAACCAGGAAAGTTGTCCTGTGGATACAAAAAATGCAGCAAATTATAAAGGTGGAATCTGAATTACATGAGTTGACTGAAGAATAATATATTCAATCAACTCGTCCTAAGGCCAAATTGAAAGAGACTAAGCGGATACCCTATCACACGCTATGATTTCATATGATAAATCGTTTATACCAGGTGCAGGCATACTACGATTTGCAACAGGTTGGCAATACAGAAGTGTTTGGCAAACTTTTTAAAGAAAACAAAAGAAAAGGGAGCAAAATATGATGGGCAGGTTAAAGCAATCGGGGGGTCGATTTTATAATGTTGCCTTGTTCAAGATGGGGTTCCTTAAGAAACATAGGACTGCTCACCATGATGAAATAAAATATATAATGGACCAAGCTCGATTTCCACCAGGGGCCAAGGGTCTGCCAAAACACATGCATTTCGTGACACCCATGAGGAGTGATTCGCCTGAGAGAAGAAACAAGAAACCGCCTACTCCATAACCAGTTGCAACATCTGAATTATACACACAGTATGTTTCATTCGTTTGAACATCTGTACGTATTTCGCCCTGCCAGGAAATGAAGTTTCTTTATAAATTGCTGTTACAAAATATGGACCATCTGCACAAAAATTAACCCAAGATTCCAACAAGCCAATCGGTTACTCCAAAAGTAAGCAGGCATTCAAATGATAGAAATGGAAGTAATCAGAATGGTTTGATCAACCGAACTATGAAACATCACCAATCAGAGAAGAGAACTGACTAACCAAGTGGACCAAGGAAACAGTAGCCTGGATCCACACGTGCTTTTAAATTTGCAAGGCTTCTAACATTGCTATAAGATGAAGATATATTACACTTCACGAATGAAGCCTTATGCAATTGGTGTACATCCCTACTTAAAACAAAAATCCACCCTTGCAATGCCAAGGGTTACAAACTTTTAAATTTTCTCTATTTAGCACTTTTTAAATGTTTGAAAATTCATCATGACACACGAATATACAGACTAATAAACTCTAATCCAACTGACGCATGAATTGCCTCTTCTTATACGCCCACATGATAATGCATAATTCTTCATAAACAATTTCATCCCCTTAAAATAAAGAACGCAGTGATTGGTACAATAGGAGAAACAAAATCCAAAGACCAAGAAGGCATGGTACATTAACTTCACAAAAGAGAATGTTCAAAGGATAATTACTATTCTAAAACAGTGAGAAAATCAAAATTCTTGCGGGCAACCCTGAACCTCGTTATTGTGCGATTCAGGATGATAGATCACCTATTCATTTGTAATTTTACTACTGTAAGGATCATGCAACTAAATACCCATTTACTTCCAGCAACTTTTACACAACTTCAAATATAGACCCACGTTACTAATGAGCTCGGAAATGCTCATTCTTATTGTAAAGGTTTCATAAGATAATCTCTTTTCGCCAAGATCATAGATTGGCAATGGCAACAACTTAACCACGAAATGGAGAGGAATCGACTCCAACCATAGGCTTGTGGTAACGATTCCGCGAAAAATTATGAAAATTAAATCATAAAGTAAATGAACTCAATCGCATATGGAAATGCCACCCTCAGAATCTTAGAGAATTTCAAAAAGGGGGTAATTAAGATAAATAACCATCAGAATTTCGTACTCTTTTTGGCACTGTTTTGGTAATTGAGTGAAAGAAAAACCCGAAACCGAAAAAACAGTCTCACCATCAATAAATCTAACCCAAAAAATGTGAACAAACCCACTTTTCCAATGCGCCGATTACCAATTCCACGACATCCTTAAAAACCCTTGTCTTCTACAGAGCACAAACAGTACAGAACAAACCACCAAAGTACAGAACACAGAATCATGAAAATTAAACACAAAAAACAGATCAAGATACAAAACAAAGACATGTGGAAAATAACACATTCAAAAACCAAATTTAACTACATCTCGAACTGTTAAATTAGAAAGAAGACAAACGGGAAAGGAAAAGTAAAGACGGCTCACCACACTTCTTTGTCTCTCGGCAGCAATGGCAAACCCGAAGGCCACTAAGCTCAGAACCACCACCAGCAGGTGCACCAAAGTCGAACCCTTTCCTTCTCCCATGGCTTCCTTCCTCTCCGGTCTCCCCTCTCCCTCTCTCTCTGTCTGTGTAGGAAAGTTGAGTACAAAAAAGAGTGAGACTGAACAAAAAGTGACAACTTTCTTTGGACGCAGTGCGTGTTGTAAAGCAGTGGAAGCTGTTTTTACCAAAAGAAACCCCTCTTAGACCCACGCGATTATCTAAAAGCGTCAGCGACACGTCCCGGGCAAAGAGTCAAACTATCATTGGCTGTATGGCCTCTAGGGAAGTGTATTTCACGGTGGGAGAGAGTCGCAGGTCATGCGATTATCATGGAATACGAGGAGGCGGGTTCCTGTTTAAAGAGCTTCGAGATGCTTTTTGGGGAGAGGAGGGACCGTTCCCACTTCTATTAATCGGGAATCTGTTTCTCTAGAAAATTCTACAAATGCTACAATTTTATCTACGCCCTAAATCTTTTTCTAATTTCGACTAAAATCTAAATAAGTTGATATATTCACTTCATTGTGAAAAATCATAATTTCCGTCGAAGACAATTGATATCATTATATCCATTAATATTTCTATACATTTGTATGTCGATATTTTCATAAATTTACGTATCGATATTTCCGTCAGTATCGATATTTTATACATTGTTCGTCACACATCAGTCCTGCTTTTTCCATGGCAAGTAGCCCAAACGGGTAGAGTTGTGTAACATATGGACATCTTTCCCTATAGATTGTTGACTGTTTGCATTGAATCCCACATAATATTAGCCCATTACCAATCCAAATGACCCAAAGCAGCCCAATAGTTGAAGGTCTCAGGTGGTCCAACATGATCTAACAGACAAATGAATTAGGTTATAAATATGGCATAAAATTAAAGAAAAACTAATAAAAATTGCTTGAAAACTTTGAGTTTTAATGATAAGTACACAATAAAGGGTAAAGTAAATAGTACAAGGATTACCTTTTTAATGTAAAAATATGATTTTTTGTTAAAGTAAACAATACCGTGATATTTTCGTTAAAACTCTCCAAAATTAAACTGTAGGAAGGAGTTACGGTCATTTCTGTCACAGTCCAGGTTTTGAAAGACGCGAAGATTAGGAGTAAAAAATCTAAAGACTCACAGACGAGAGGAGGAAAAAATCAAGGGCTGAGAAATAAAGTTACACATCATCATACAAATAATTCAAGTAGTGATTCCGATAAGATATGGGTGTTTGCCACCTGTGACCTATGGAGTGCATAACGATAAGGCCAAGTTTTTTTCAGAAATATCAGGTTTACACCGCTAGATTTTTAGGTTATGGTAACACAGGCTAAATTTAGCAGCGAAGTTATTTTCTATATATACATACATGAAGGATGAAGCGACACTGTCAAGTCCCCTTAAGCTGATCACATCTACTTAGTTGTGATACTTTAACGAAGAAAGAGAGGAACTATGGCTTCCTCTATGGTTTCGTCAGCCGCTGTTACCTCCGTCCACCGCACCAGCTCCCCAGCTCAGGCGAGCATGCTGGCACCCTTCAACGGGCTTAAGTCCTCCTCAGCCTTCCCCGTGACCCGCAAGGCCAACGATATTACCTCCATTGCCAGCAACGGTGGAACCGTGGAAGAGTCCAGTGCATGCAGGTAACCGGTAACCCTAGCGAATTGATTTACTTGTCCATCTTACTTTAGGGTTATTTTCATTACTAAATTTAAATTAAAGTTACCATAGAAAGAAAGTAAATTAATCTGCATATGGCTTTGATGTAAAAAATGCAGGTGTGGCCACCAATTGGACTGAAGAAGTTTGAGACTCTCTTACCTTCCTCCCTTGTCTGCCGAGTCATTGGCAAGGGAAGTAGACTACCTTCTCCGCAACAACTGGGTTCCCACCTTGGAATTCGAGTTGGAGGTAATTAACATTCACAAATCACTCTTTAGTTCGTGTAAATGCGACAAAAAAATTATAAAATGTTCAATTTAAAATTCATACGATAAAAATGGAAGGTGTGAAAATCGTTATTCTTTTTACTTAAAACATAGTTTTTCTCGACCTACCGTTAGTGATCCCAAAAACCCATAATTAAAATCTAATCTTATTTAATTTTTGATAAAATGGGAATTTCGTATTAAGCAAGCCATAAAAAGATTTAGGGGTAAGTAAACATGTATCATTTCACCGCTAAACTCGATTAATTTGTAATATATTATTTCTTCTTCGAGTGATACTTATTGTCTCAATGTTGAGCTGACATGTGTTTAATACATTTGGATGAATAAATGCAGAAACCATTCGTCTACAGTGAGAACGGCAACTCCCCAGGGTACTATGACGGACGCTACTGGACAATGTGGAAGCTTCCCCTCTTCGGATGCACTGATTCTTCCCAAGTTCTCAAGGAGCTCGAGGAGGCCAAGACCACCTACCCCGAATCCTTCATCCGGATCATCGGATTCGACAACATCCGCCAAACACAGTGCGTCAGTTTCATCGCTTACAAGCCCCCAGGCTTCGAAGTTCTTAAAAAAAGCTACGCCGCGGCAAACGGCGGCCAACAGGCTATGTTACTTCCCTTCAACAATTTTAATTTCAAATTGACATGTTGGTAGTTTCTGTTTGTACCATTCGTTTTGTGGCTCCAAATTTTATTTTCTTTCTGTAATTTCTCTCCTCGTAATTCTCCGTTTATTCTGTGATATTTGAATTCTATATCTAAACAGAGTTTGTGTTAGTCAACTTTGCATAAGCATGTTAGTTAACTTCTGAAATTCCATACGGGAAGTGATTTTCGCGCATCCTGACAACGGCAATGATAGCGGAAAAAATAATTGCAGAAAATGACTATTTTGTTGTTGCTACAGAATCTTATACATAAACTGAACAATGTAAACACAAATCTTCTCTCCGTCTTTTTTCACGGATTTGGGATCTCTTTTGTGGTTCTTAATCCCCAAATGTCATCGTCCCAAATCACATCACAAAACAATCGGTAATGCGACTCTTCCATAAACTCAACATCCCAAAGTGGCAACCAAACGGACCCCCAGGACATTTGCTCATCCACCGCAACACCACCACCCAAATTCCCCCAGTAATTCTCATCCCCAGCCATAAGATTCTGATCAGCCGCCACCAAACCCAATTGCTGATCATCGCCGCCGTCGATCCTCGCCTCTTCTTTCACGCTCTTGTCGATAGTTTTCTTACCCTTCTTGCTCGCAGCCGCCGCTGTTTTTGTTGTTGTAACTTCAAAACTCGGAGCTTGATCAACGCCGGCGCCGCCTCCGCCACTACGTCTCCGCCTCTTCATTTCTCCCGGTGAATTTGATCTCTCCAAAAAAAAAAAACAGAACACTGGGTTTGTTATATATAAGCAAAGCAGCGATCTAAACCCCAATAAAAAGGAAAAGCAAATTAGGAACTGGTGAATGAGACTTGAAAAAGATATTGATGGTGGGTTGTGTTTATATAGGCAGAGATAGTAGGTTTGGAAGTTGGAGTGCTCGTAATAGTTTCGTGGCTGTAGACAGTGACGGATCCAAGAAGTAATATTAGAGGGGTCAGTGCATCTGTCAGTGGCCGCACTGCAGGCCCTGCAGCTGTGAATTTATGTGTTCACGTGACTTTACCTTGTCTTTGTCGATGAGTTGCCCTCTTCCGAGCACCCAAAAGGGCAAGTTGTGATTGTACTTTTTTTATTTTTCTACTTCTGGACTCCCCCAAAGGGCAACTGGACAAGTTGATTGACAAGAATGCAAATCCAATTAAAAAACTAGTATATATTTTGGTGAAACACGAGCTGCCGACTAAAAGTTTGGGGAGGAGATTCTTGTTTTCGATTGTCTAATTAAAACGGTTTTCGTATCGAACAAAATTATCGTAAAGTGAGTAAGACTAATTGGTTTGTGATTGACTAGTGTCAACCTGTTTGCCCACACTTAAGAAAAATATACGGCAAATGACGTGATCAAATAATCTACGGATGTATTTCGCTTGTGGAAAATAAGACGGATTTCAAAATATCTTTTAAGTTAGGGCAAAGGCACGATGCGCTGTCATATTTGACGGTTCAAAGAATTAGGTTAAGATGCATATGATGTCACTGGAATAAAAAGTGTGGCTTGTGATAGTGTTAGTTGTTGGCAAAAAAAAAAAAAGGAGGGAAGGAACAAAGTGTTCCACGTGGTCTTCTGAATTGACAGCTTTGGAAGGGCCTTTGTCGGAGAGTGGTTGCTGTCTGGCTGACCGACTAGTCCCTTGGCCTAACCTAAAACTGCAAGTTGGGTGTCAAACGACTGAAATAACACGCACACTTTGGGTTAAAATGGTCTCTGTCTTTCTGTTCGTGACAGTGAAAACATCTCGTCGTCGTAGTGGCTTGCATTACATATCACATCCCCGATGCCACTGGCGTCGACTTAATGCTTACCAAGTTGGAGAGGATGGAGGGGTTGAGTCGTTGAGACTTGAGAACGGTTTGAACTTGGACAATTGGATCCATCTTTCTTCTTTTAGCCAATTGATTTTTTTAGCTTTATTTGACACCGTTGCACGTAATCTAAGATTGGTAGGTATTTTATCGAACAACCTACTTTTTGTTGGAGAGTGCAGCTGATATTTGAAAGTTGGTTGCTTAGTTTGGAGGGAAAAAATATCTAAGGAAAGACAGAAAGAGGAAGAAGGGTCACATCCATGTTATATATATGTATACGGGAGATATTGTTATTTAAAAATGAGTAGAAATTTTTATTCAAAATTACTAGTGTTTGAATTACATAATTTTGTTTTTATGATTAGAATCGTTCATATTATGTATTACTTTGTAAGATCATCTACGCAAAAAATAAATTAAAAATTATAATCGTTTAGTCAATCTATTTTAATAAATACATAAACTCTTTGTAATACTTGTACCAATTTTGTTTATCTGTTTTCATAAAGACCAAGGAATAAAGGACCTTATTTTTAATTAATTTTTTACATAAGTGAACGGTTCTAATCATAAAAGAGTTCTATAAATTGACAACATATCGTTTTGAGTGTAAAATTTTATCTATTCTTTGAATACTCAAATATTATTCATATTATATGTTATGGTATGGGGAAAGGATCCTCTACGGATCCCTTCCTCTTAATCTATCAAATTCGAAGATTCAAACTGTTGAATTTGATTCAACGGCTAAAGTTAATATAATTTTTAAAGTTGGTCCCTAGTTGTAGCCGTTGAATCAAATTTCAATAATTCAAATCTCCGAACTTAGTGAATTAGAAGGAAGAGATCCAAAAATGATCTTTTTCCATGGTATGGTATCTTTTCAGAGTATGGCTTTGCCGGTACACGTAGAGGACAGCAGCTATTTGATGATGCAGGAGGTGGAAGTGAGCTGACTCATGCACTTGCGGAAGGGATGCTGACAGCAGCTATTTGTAGGAAACGTTTTGCTTCACAACACACTGGTTCAATTCTAGCTTTATAATCTCCTGCAATTTTTCAATTATTAGTTAAGCATGGCATTGGTTTTGAATTGAATTGGTGATGGGTAAAATGGAAAATGAAGACGTCAATACACACTTGAATCACTGGCGAAACATCTCGAATTTTAGAAATCTGCAAGGAACAAAGAAATTGAAGAGTGAAAAATCAAATCGGATATGGGGATTTTCCCTAGCTCTGTAGATGGCTAATCTCTTTTAACAATACAAAATAGTCTATCGATTGACTCTTGTCTTTAGATTTTAGTTTGAGTGGCTTGCATTGTATGGTTAATTATTTCTGTTCCTTCTTCCATATTTTCCGTGTGAAACAATCTTCAAAACTGATTACACAGATAAAAAAGAAAAACTAATAAAAAAAGGTTTAAAAACTTTGAGTTTTAACGATAAGGACAAAATAAAGGGTAAGATGAATAGTATCATGATTGATTTTTTAATGTAAAAATGTGATTTTTTGTTAAAGTGAATAGTGTTAGGAACTTTTCGTTAAAGTTTCCAAATAAAAAAAGTTCAAACTTTTAATTTCCCAGAAACCAAAAATGAACATTTGTACTAAATTAATTAAAATAAATTCATGGACAGGAGGAAAAAAATAATTAAACGAAGTTCCCCGAAAGAATGAGACCACCAACTCATATGTTGAAAACACATCGATCACTGGGGATTGACCAATCAGCCTATATATTTGATCAAATATGGAGTTAATCATAAAAAGGAAAATTAAAAATAAATCAAACATCAAACTATCAAAGTAACATACCTGAGAGTGAAGACGATTTAGTTTTTGCGGAAAAGGAATATAACCAATTGCAACTGCTAATTACAGTTTCAAAAGCCCAGAAAAATCCTGTAAACAAATCTACTCTTTCTGCCTTTACTTGCTCTACGTTTCTGCAGCGAACAAAAATATAAAAAATATAAAAATTAAAAAAAAAAAAAAAAACCCCAAAATCAAATTAAACAATGCCAGTACTCCATGCATGTGTTCTTTATTCCTCTATCCTGTTCTTGGATTGTTGTGTGTGTCACATCGCGGCATAGTATTGTCTGTTTTGAGCCACAGTATTGTCTGTTTTGAGCCACATTCTCACAGATTTATTCTTGGGCTTCCACCCAAAACGCGTCTTACTATAAAGAGGTGGACATATAAGTATAAGGCATATCACCTCCCCTCCTCCGACGATGTAGGATCTTATAGTGTGGACCATGATTGGGAGAGGCAGTTATGGGGTATCATTCGCTCCTAATAAATTGAGTTGGAAAAGAACCCCAATCGACGGAAAAATTTGTAGAACGTGGAGGGTTAATTTTTTGATTTTGAATCCCACGTTTAGCAGTTGTATCTCTTTTCTGCAAAACTTCTTCTCTTTACAGCTTAACCCACATGGCTTTAATCCTTTTTTTTTTTTTATAATTTCAGTTTTTTATAATTTTATGACAAAATTACCCTTGCGAATTTGTTTTTATTATTTTCGGTCAGGTTTGATTTTTTTTTTTTTGTTTGGGGGGCTTTTTTGTTCAAAATTTTTTGGTGACGTCTTGAGACACCAAACATTCCTTCTGCCTTTCTAATATTAAAAATTAAAGATGAATAACTATGAACCAGCCAGTTAGGTCTTTTTACCTAAACACTTGCATCAAGAGTTCAGTGTTAAAATATCTTACAATGACAATGTTAAGTGCTCAATGAGACAGGCCAAAGGTTACTTACAACAAAACTGATATCGTTTCCAATTTGTGCAAGTGGTAAGTAATAAATTGAAAATAGTACCGATTTTGTCATAAGTTGCTTTTGACCTGTCTATTTGATAATTTAACATGGTAACAGATTTAAGAATAAATAGTGTAACCGATAATTTGCTTAATAATAACTTGACATCCCGAAACTCGTTGGGACCCAGTGTGGACCACTCCCAGTGTCAGGTCCCATGCAACTAACCCCAATAGGATCCTCTCTGAATCCTTTTGGTGAGAATCCGTAAGTTGTGTTCGTTTATCGTACATCGTGCGATCAGTTTTTGTTAGATACTATTTGTATTTAATTTTAAACAAAAATATTTAAAATAATTTCTAATTGCACAATACACAATTAACATATATAATTCACGAATCTAGGATCCTCACAAAAAAATTTCGTCGGCAATCCGGATTCCAACTAACCTACCCTTTCGATTTACAGATGGGAGTATTTTAATTTTTAATATAATATTTGGAATAAAATCCTGTCTCTGGAAGTGGGTCCCCTTCTTGTGACGAATTCAAGCAGACGCCAAGTCTTTCTACTCGTTTAATAAGATCTTTTTGTTGATTGTGTTTTGATGAGACTAGTTCAATTTTTGTGTTAAATTATCATGATCAATGTCTTAATGGAGGATTTAAACAGGGTGAAATTAATAAAATGGATATCATTATCTCACCGCTAAATGATTTTAAACTCAAAGGGGGCGTTTGTTTGTCCTCATTAGGTTGGACTGGACTGGACTAGCTATTAGTCCAATACTGTGTTTGTTCCATGCTGGGACTAACATTAATGAGACTAAAGGGGACTAGCATGGACAAAACCCTTCACTAAGAGGTCTTAGCGAGACCCCCCAATAACCATGGGACTAGCTAAGACTATCCTCTCTTTCTCATCCTCGTCATGCTCAACGACCACTCCCGACAAACTCCTTGTCATCTTCGGTCACCTAGATCAATCATTAACTTTCCGACTCTCTTTCAGATCCATTTCACAACCAACTTTCATATAAAATATACCAAATTGAAGCTGGGAGTGACAAGATTACGATTTTACCTGAATCGAGGCCAAAATGTGGTCGAATGTGTCCGGAAAATGGCCTGGAAGTCCGGCATGTTTGGGCTTCTTCAAATCCATGACAGATTCGAGCATTCAAAGCTAAGATCTCGGTCTAGGGATGGTGATGAATTTTTTAGCGGTGCTAACTTCATCCAATTTAACAAGGGTTGGTCGGAAAACACATCGGGAAACCTGCAACTCGTCGGGAAAATTGGAGCCGTGAGGTTCCATTCGAACAACGCATAGCTAGAGAGGGAGGGAGGATAGAGAAATAGAGACTGAAATCAATAAGGAGTTTGACCAGGAATAAGAAAGAGACATGAATTGAGAGGTCTAAGAGGAAAAAAAGAGGGAGGGGGTGGGACGATGAGAGAAGAGGAAAAGAGTGGGACGGAAATGGTAGGAAAAGATGAAGAAAAAGATAAGATCATAATAAAATATTAATAATTTATATATTAAATAATATAATATTAGAATTTGTTATTATCCAGCTTCTTAGTCCAATACTGCACCAAACGCTTCACTAAGTTAGTCCAGTTTAGTCTAGTCTAAGCCAGTCCAGCTTAGTCCTTAAAGCTAATCTAGTCCGAGATAGTCCGGCGCAACAAACGCCCCCAAAGTTTCTTATGCAACAAGAAAGGAGAATTCGTTTGAATACACGATAATCATCTATTGGACGAAGGAAAGGAAGATACCAAGACTACGTCTTAATTGTAACGAGAGAATCTCTTCAATCAAAACCCCCAACTGGCTTCAACCACGCAAAACACGTCCACTCTGCAAGCTTCAGCCACACAAAACATGTCCACTCTGCAAGCTTCAACCACACAAAAAGGTTCGCATCAAGATATAGATGCTCATCCCTTCGAATAAAGTTGTGTGGATCATAAGCTGAACGATTCTTCGAAGCTGTTTTTCTTCTTTCTTTAAAAATAGCATCGATGATCGATTTCCGATGATTCAAACAGAGTTGTACGAATGAACACAAAAAACCATCACATAGCTGTTGAATTATATGATCAGGGATAAAAAGCACAAGGATTCGGCAAAAGCACAATTCGGAGAGAATCACATAAAACTCAATCGAAAAGTAAAAACACGAACCAAGCCGTGGACAGCAGAAGATAACGAAAACACGAATGGTATATATACACTGTAAATGACTATTTTGATCGACTCAACAACAGCTTCAATTTGTACAGATTTGCTTCATAAGCCGAACTCAAACACAATGAAAGGGCGGTGTGGTAGAAAACACAATCAATCTGTTCTCTACTAAATGCCACAACCCCTCAGGGACTTCTCCTAAACAAGAAGAACGAACTTCGCTCATTATTTGGTTAACATCTCACTTTACTTACACGACACATTTTATTAACACAAATCCCCTGAACATATTTACATTAGACAGAAAGATCGACTTCCTTCACTCTCCGAGAATTTCAAAATTTCCTCTCAATGCTATCAAGTGTAGAAAACTTTAGCTTAATGTTCTCCTATGTACCTTCGTTGATAAAAATCGGGCTCTTTATGCCAGGGTAGAGATGCTGCAGTTCCTTCGATCCGTGTCCAGGCAATCAAACCCCTCGACCCTCACTGCCGGTTTGCTCCCAAAATTGGTCCTTACACAGCCTCCTTTCCTCGTGGACGAGGAAGGAGATGATGATTGACCGGACAGGGCAGGTATTGGCGACAGTGATGAGGACGAGATGAGCTCCTCATCCCCAAATCGAGCGTCCTGAATTAATGGGTTAGCTACTCTGCTCGGTGGCGACCCGCAATAAAATGGGTGCTGCGAGGCCATTTCTGTACACGAAAATTGTTCAACACCAAAGGATCCCTACACAAATCAAACATCAAAAATTAAATTAAACATCACACACATTGAATTACTGACTCGATTACCACCATAATTGCCTAATTAGCATTCAGTTAATTGCAGATCGAGAAGTACCTTAGTGAGAATGTTGTCTAAAATATCAGACCCGGCATTTGAATCACAGAACTCCGCCTGGTGGCTGAAATTCAAATAGTTAAAAATCAAAACCAAACTAACAAAATTTCACAATTTGAATTTTGAAACCCTAAGGAAAGCACAAATAAAAATTCCAAAACAGAAAGAAATTCAAAAATTCGAATTACCCGAAATGCCATCGGAAAGATCTGACGGGATCGTTGAGGAGGCCGAGGCGGCGAGGTTTGGGGCAGACGACGGAGTCCCTGGAGCAAGACCTCATGTCTTCGCAAGCAGAGAGCGCATTGCCTTGCTGTATCCCACAGTGATTCATTTTCCGCTCGGTTTAAAACGACGACGTAAAACCTGGTCAAGCAAATCAATTAAACGACAAGTTAACAGATCTGATCTGGATAAATTGTAACAGAAAATGGATTTTAACTTGAGCGTAAAAATTGAGGAAGGAGATCTGGAGAAGTCGGATTGTTTTCAAAAACGCCAGATCCGAAGACAGAGATTGGAATTACCGAAGATTTTGATGGAAACAAGAAAAATCATAATTTGAAAAGAAAAAAAGACCATGTGAGTTTACCTTTTAAGTTTGAGTGAAGAAGTCAGCAGCTGCTTAGTTGCAGGTGGGAAAAATGGAATGGAAAATTAGGGGGGAAAGGGAAGGTGTTTGGTTGGAGAGGAAGGAAATGGGAAAGGAAAGAAGGTTGACAAAGGAGAGTCTCCATCGAATTTATAGAGCCAATGGCTTAACAGAAAACGAGAGCGAACATAGAATTGTGCGATTAATTAATAAAAAATTTGAGGAGAGAGAAGAGACTTTGGGAATGGGCGAGGGCAACGGGGAGATAGAGAGAGAAGTCAAGTGAGGAACGTGAGATGTGTGGGAACTTGGGAACTGGAGTACGTAACTTACATGATACAGATATGATATAATTGACGTGGTATTTTATGTTGAAAATCTACACATTCGATTATGAAATTTTTGTCGTAAAAATACATTAGTTGCAAATGATGTTGGCCCTTCAAGAGAAAGGATCTCCAATTTTTATTAAAAATGAGATTAGTTGTAGGACTCAGTTCATATTGAACTTCAACGATCTGAATTGTCTGTTTTATAAGTCTTGATTCATAAATCATCCTTACAAACATTAAATTCAAAATGAAATTATTTGCCCATTTAATTATCACAATAAAATTTTAATGTTTTTTAAATAACAAAATGTTCGTTAATTTCTTTAAACCCAATTAAATGCGTCAAATATTTTCGATTTGATTAATATTTTGCAAAGATAATCTATAAAGTGCAACTTGAAAATTGAACAGTTCGGATCGTTAAAGTTATGTTATGGACCCGAACTAATCCTCATTTTTATAAAGAAATGAAAATCTCTTTCTTAAAGACTTCCTTTAAATATATATTGTTACGAATAGCATTTTCATTGTTTAAAAGAAGTGTCATGTGCCTTCATAACAAGGATCCTCTTAGGAATTGTGAGGATTTAGGAGATTCATGTATCGTGTCTGTTTATCGTATATTGTGCAGTCAGAAATTATTTTAAATTTTATTATTTAAAATTGAACACAAACATTATATGATGAAAACTGACCGCATGATGTATGATAAATAAACATGATTTACGGATCCTTGAGATGTGACGGATCCTTGAGATCCTCACATAGAAGATCCGGATTCATGTCTTCATTGGTCCTTCATCGCCTTTGTCAGTGGTTGCTAGACGTGCATAGAACAAAGTTCAACAGTATGGAAGAGGATATCTCCGGATCCACTTTTTGGGGATCCTAAAGATTTTCACATTTTAACCGTTCATCGTATTTGTGTTTAATTTTAAAAAATTAAATGATTTATGATCGCACGATACATAATGAATAGCTAAGATGTGTGAATCCCTAAGATCCCACAATTTGGATCCGGATGAAATCCAAATCCCATTTTTATAACACTATTAGCATGAAGATTATCTATTCTAAAGTAGGAACATACCATAAGTCTCTTTAAAAACTTAATCTTGGTTTTTATAACAATTAGATAAATCTAAGGTGAATTGACGAAAAGATTACATTACCATAAAACAAATACGGCGGGAGATGATGAAACAATGTGTATTCAAAATATTTCGCGGCTGTTTGTTATCCTCCTAGGATTTATTTTTCAAGTTTTGAACAACGTAGATCGCCCGCATAAAGGAGAAACCAAAAGTACATAGATCATAGATGCTTGCCATTTCGAATAAAAGTTCCCAAGGAATGAAGATCAGAGACCATACATCCTCGGCTTTCAAAAAGCATGTCCGTGGGTTCCAGTGATACGAACCGAATATTTCACTAACGAAAACGAAACTCATCAGACGGACTACAAATCCGGCATCCCGGAATTCGGCGTCATGCTCAAGCGACGCGGGTTACAGAACACAAAACTATAACCAGATCAAGAAAGGGAAGTGCAAAGCAATTAAATGTATGTCGTACACAGCAGAAGACGAACTAAAACACAAATGCTTTATTTACACACTAAACGAATGTTTAGATCGACTCAACAGCAGCTTCAATTTATACAGATTCGCTTCACAAGCCGCTCTATGAAACTCCGAAACACCTAAATGGAAACACAACGAAAATTTTCCCACAATAATCTTTTACTTTTTACAATACAAGGGGGGGCGGTGTGTTACACCGCCCCCTCGTAACCACTCCTAGACACGATCTATGAACCCGTTTATTATTTGGTTAACATCTCAATTACTTACATGACAGAGACACATTTCATTTACACAAACCCCTCGTACGTATATACATAAGGTAGAAGGATCGTCGTAGTTCTCTTCTCCTGATGAAAATTTCAAAATTTCCTCACAGTGCTATCAAAGTAATGTGGTTGGCTATATCAAACTTTAAGCTCAGTCTTTTCCTATGTACCTTCATCAATTGAATTGTGATCTCATGCCAGGGTAGGGATACTGCAATTACGTCGATCCCTGTCCAGGCAATCGAACCCCTCGATCCTCACTGCTGGTTTGCTCCCGAAACTAGCCCGAGCATAGCCTCCTTTCCTAGCAGATGATGAAGGAGACGATGAAAGGCCCATTGGGGGAGCGGTTGGCGACAGTGGTGACAATGGGGTGAGTTTCTCATCCCCAAATCTAGCATCCTGAATTAATGGGTTAGCTACTCTGCTCGGCGGTGACCCGCTGAAAAATGGGTGCGGCGAGGCTATTTCTGTACACAATAATTGTTCAACACCGAAAGATCCCTGCAGAAAATCCAACATGAACAAAATAATTACCAACCAGATGCTAATTATTAACCCATCTAAGAGCTTAATTCTTAATTTTTTTGTAATAAAAACTGCAGATCCGGAAATTTTTTATATACCCTTGAGAGAATGTTGTCCAAAATTTCTGACCCTGCTTTCGAATCATAGAGCTCCGCTTGGTGGCTGAAATTCATTCAAACAAAGAATTAAAACCGATATTTAAAACAATAAAAAAATTGCATAATTTGAAACCCTAGACGAATGGTATCTTTTGGAGGAAAAAAAAAACAGACAAATATATAATAAAAAATGAAAAATTGGGAAATTACCCGAGATGCCATCGGAGAGATCTGACGGGATCGTTCTGGTTAACGTTAAGGAGGCCAAAACGGCGAGGTTTGGGACAAACGACCGAGTCTCTGGAACAAGTCCTCATGTCGTCGCAAGCTGAGAGGGCGTTTCCTTGCTGAATCGCACAGTGATTCATTTCTTCCTCGCTTACAAACGACGTCGTACAACCTAATCAAACAAATCGTTAATCAAAATTAATCGATCTAAAACAAGCTTAATTAGATGCGAACTGAACAGATCTGATCTAATCTGAAATTTTCCAGTCAATTGAGCAGACAAAGATCAAAATTCATAACCTGGTATCAAATCATTTCTCTACGATCAGAAGCACCAGATCGACGAACAAAATTGAAACAAAACAAAAAAAAAAAAAAAATCAGCAAAAAATAGATGTAAATACCTGAAGTTGGGGTGAAGAGTTGAGCTGCTTGGCTTGCCTGTGTAAGGAAACCCTAATTGCTAAAGAGACATCACAACAGAGAGGGAAAAAGGAAGCAAAAATTAGGCGAGAGGTAGAAGACGGACGGGGAAGGAAACTAGGTTAACAGAAGGGGCCGTCCATCAGATTATAAAGAAAAAAAAATAATATTAAATAGAAATATTAAATTCGAATTAAATCGGAGACGGATGGAAATTAGGTTTAATAGAATGAGAATCCTCTCTGAACGCTTTTGCGAGGATTCTGAAAATTCTTAAATCGTGTTCGTTCATGGTATATCGTGTGATCAGAAATCAGTTTAAATATTTTTATTTTAAATTAAATATAAATAGTACCTGAAAAAAACTAACCATATAATATACAGTAAACGGAAATGATATGAAGATCCTCACAAAAAAGATTCGGAAAGTTCCTCCCGGTAGGGATTGGGCAACAGATGACAAAGCTAGAGAGAGAAAGAAAGAGGAGGAGAGAGAAGACCGCCGGAGGCTCTTCCTTATCTTTCCTCTCTGATTAAATACTGATATTTTGTTAATTTAATATTTTAATAAAAATTAAAATATATTTCTTTGGGATGTCAAGTTGTTAGGAAATGGTGGCATAATATTTTATTTGTTTCACGCAGGCGGTGCCTCCCGCAAGAACTCACATCGATTTCGGCACCCAACCCATTGGAAGACCTAACCGTTGCCGGTTTTTTAACTTTACTGTACCTGCAACCCCCACGTGTCACGTGCATCCAGCATCTAAGTTTATTTTTGTATATATCGATGCTTCAATCGCAAAATTATATTCTCTTTCACCCCTCGACAAAGTGGAAAGCTAAAAGAGAAATTTCTCCTCAAAGTATCGGTTACACAATCAATCATACCTAATAGATAGATAGGTCCAAGTACGTTTAATGTATTTAATTATTTATTTTTATACAGTTTTATAATTAAATTATCTCGTATTTTATTACTTTATATATAAATTATTTTATAATATGAATAATTCTGATCATAAATACAAAATTTTGTGAAATAATAACAATGTTTCTGGAGGAGGAACTTTTCCTTATTCATTGAAGAGCCAAATTAAGTCCATTGATGGAATACAAGTACGGTTCATGAAATTTCAATTTTAAACATTTGTTGTTTAGTTGTTTGACTACTTAATGCATAATTAAATTGATGATAAGGTAAGTAGGGGACTCACTTTTTGCTTGACTTGAAAGCCACACTTGCATCTCATAGACTAAAATTAGTTATATGGCTTCGACTTTTCTTTAATTTATGTTTCGTATGTGAAAATGGCAACAAATCGCCCGATTGGGATTTAATAATTAAAGTGTGTGACTTTTACATTGTTACAAACATGCCTACATCTATCACGTCATAAATTAAGAATCATACGATTAAATATACCAAAACATAAACCGATACGATTTTACATTCTTTTGTTCCCTACCTTTTAATATTTAGAAAACAAAGTACGCAAAATACATAACGAGAATTTTGAAGTGCTTACCAATAAAAACAAAAGTCCTTTTTTCTAACGAACATGATAAGGTGACATTTCTCACTTCCAATCTTGTTTTAAAGACTATGGACCAAAAAATTCTTGTTTAAGACAAAAGTGGTGACGGCCACGATTTGGCCACCTTTTCTCTTTGACTTTGAAAATGGGCGGCAAAATAGCCGCATATCTAGCATCCCCTACACAGTTGGTATCGTCACCGGCGTTGAAACAAAATAAAACGGCCTAAAGCGAGACAGATGCCACTCGAACAAACATAACAATATTTTGAGTGCGTTGACGAAATACCAAGGAAACTGTTG